TTTCTAAGCATAGAAAATGGAATATTCAAAAAATTTCAAAAATAAAATTAATACAAAATTATGGATGAGGCAACAAAATTAATCCACAGTGAGGTTTATATAAACCATACACCAAAGGGTTTGAGATACTTGCTTGAGGGTGGGACAGGGTGGGAAAAAGGGAACAAAGGACAGGCTCAACAGGGGACTGATTTTTAAAAAATTATGACTTACACTAGTTTTTTATGCTGCATAACAATTTATCATAAACTAAGCAAGTTAGAAACAACATATACTTTCATTACCACTGGTTTTCCCGTGTCAGGAGTCTGGCACGCCTTAGCAGGTCTTCTGCTCAGAGTATCACAGGCTGTAATCAGTGTGTCATCAAGGCTGCCTTCCTTTCTATAGCTAGGCTTCCCTTCTAAACTCACATGTTTCTTGAAAAATAAAATAACTTTCTTTTGGATATAGAACTGAGGCCCTTTTTTTCTTCCTGGCTGCCAACCAAGAACCATTCTCACCTCTTTGAGGCCTCCCTTAGATTTTTGCATTGTGGTTCCTTCCTAGTCCCTTCATAACATGTCAGCTTACTTCTTCCAGGCTACCAGGAGGATATATCTCTCAGGGAAAGCCCCTGATCATCTTCAAGAGAGCATACCACATAAGGTTATAACCAGGCAGGGTAATCTTAAATTGACTTGATTAGAATCCTAATTGCCACCACAGAGTCTCCTTTTAGTATAAGTTATCATTGTGGTAATAACCTGTTTTATTCTCAGGTTCCACCTACATACAAGGGGAAGATATTATAGCAAGAAGTAGGTCATTGGGGGTCATCTGAAAATTGTGTTTACCACAGGATTCACTACTGAAGAATAGTAATATATTCAGTATGTGTATTCTTGTTTCTTCTTATACTTGTTTAGAGAGTTATGTACATTTCAGAGATTTATAGTTCATTGCTATTTATTTTTAATTTAAATTAAACTTTTAACTGTTACATAAATTTATGAATTTTTACTTGTTTATGAGGTACCATGAGATGTTCCAATACATATACACATTATATAATGTTTAAATCAGCTTAAACACGTTTGTCTCTGCCAACATTTATCATTTCTTTATGGTGAAAACATTCCAAAATTTTTCTTCTAGTTTTTTGATATATATAGTATATTATCATTATCTAAAATCGGGCAAATTTTATAATGTCATATTATGTGTATGTCTGAATAGGTAACAAATCCCATCATAATATACAGCTGTGATGTACAAATAAAAAATGGGCAAAGAAAAATAAATAAATAGTCACCTTACTGTGCAATATACAACACCAAAAATTTCTTACTTCTACATAACTATAACTTAGTATTAACTGATAAACTTTTCCCCATTCTTCTCACTGGCCTGTGGTAACCACCATTCTACTCTCAACTTATATGAGATCAACTTTTTTAGATTCCATACATTAGTAAGATCATGAAGTGCTTGTCTTTCTGTGCTTAGTTTATTTCACTTAACATAATGATCTCCAGTCCCATCCTAAAGTTCTAAGATGTAAATAATTAGTATTATCTACTCTAAATTTTTGTAGTATTAAGTTCTATTTTATAATTGGTTAGAAATAATCGACTATACATAAATAAATACAAATTTCAATACTTACTGAAGTAAACTTTTAAATTTAAAAAGTCTTTTAGACTGCAGCACTGAGCATACAGAGTCAGAGGAGCACATCTGGCATCAATAAGCATGTAGCCTAGCAGAGATCCTAAATTGATCCTAGTAAAACAAGTAACTCTGCCTTAGGATGAACTAAAATTTCTGTCAAGAGAGAAATTATAGGATAATTATATACATATATTAAACAATTTTTTTCATTAATCTATGTCCTCATCTTTAAGATATGTCTCAGACTCTGTAGGGTAGCATTTCCCATAAAATAATGCTACCAATAATGCTTCAGATTTAAAATCTACCAAGTGCTATCACAGATGTTTTAAAAATTCTGTCTTCAAAATTACCATTCTTAAGTAAGCAACATCATCTTTGTTTTAAAGGAGGAAACAAAGATTCATACTTGCCAAAGTCCACTTGGTTGATAAGAAACAGTTCCAGAGAAAGAAAATCTGGAAATTATGACTCTTCCATCTGTGCTTTGTTGTCTCTTTTAAATACAATGTAACATAAAAATTTAAAAACTTTGGTGATGGAAAAGTAATATAAAAGAAATATGAATCATTCTATTAATAAAAAGAATAATTTAAGGGTAATCTTAATTTATTAGTAGATTTTACAGCACAATCTCTTTCTAACAAGATCACCCACAAAAGTAGTATCACAGCCCAAAACAAGAGTAAGGAAAAGAAAGATTTTATACTATTTCTCTCTATAGCATTTCTCAAATAAGAAACAGAATTCTTAAACTGAGGGAAATTAATAATAGAGCCCACATTATTTGTCTAAAATTCTAAGGGATAAACAAAAAATTTCAAACTGATGGAATAAATGGTTTGTATAGTTCCCATTTCAACAGATGCTTCTATGCATATATAATGTTAGAAATGTTTTAAAGATTGTAAAGATTTTAAGTATCCTTTAATCAAAATATTATATTTTAATAAAGTACAAGTAATTCTATCTTCTCCATAGTTTTAGTGTTTCTTTATTTAATGATTTTTGTATTGTTAAGATGATGGTGAAATTTACTTATGTATGTCTTTCAGAGAAATACTTTTTTGGGGTTGGTCTTTCCTCAGTAAAGACATACTATAGTGTTAATATCTGCCATCATGGAAGTAATAGACAGAAAATAGGAGTAAGGCAAATAAGAAAAGCCTGTTCATAAGGAGATAAGAAACTCACCAGATTTTAGTTTCTTGTGTTGTTTGAGATTCTACCTGCAATTGCTGCCATGAGTTACATCTTTCCAAACGGAAATCTTGAAAAGTATAATTTAAATGCAAAGTGTTAACATCAGAATTCAGAAATATTCTGGTATATGCTGCCAAAGTAAAAACTTAACTAATACTACATTATTAATGAACTGTATTTTAATTTATATGGTTATAAATAGATTGTAAATAAGAGCTGTAATTGATGTGTCCTTACAGCATATCTGAGCTACAAATAGGAAACCTTTCTTTTGGTTCTTTCTATACCTAAGGCATTATTTTTACATATTGTGTTGTATACATAGGTGGTCAAAAGCATCCTCCTTGAAGGATTTAATGTTTACTAATGTTCATAGACAAGGAACATGCGTAGTTTTATGGGAGCAAAGAGAAAGAAGAAGAAAAGAACAAAGAAGACTTTGTGTGGAAGGAAAACTAAGTTGCCCTTCAAAGATGAGAAGTCCTTCACTTGTAGGAAACACTATGTGTAGTCATTGATACAGAAATGGCAGGGAAGTTTGGCTTCAGGTGATAACATGACAAACACAAGTCTAAGTTAATATTAGAAAAACTTTATTATCTACAGATATCTGAGTTTTATTCCATTGGGATGAACAACTCCTAAAGACCTTTGAAAAAAGGAATAACAGGTGAAAGTTGTAGTAGGAAATTGTATAAAAAGTGAGATGGAGTTGGGGAGAGGGAAGGTCCTGGCAGTAACCTCAATGGGATAATGAGAATCTCCATTGAGTGAATACAGACAGAGAATACAGATAGAATACAAATTTAAGAGACTATATAATTTATATAACATGACAACTGCTTGGAAATAGGAAATTAATAAATAGGGAAAAGTAGATTCAAGCTTGAATGGTAACCCAGAAAATTTTTAGATTTAAGGAAATTGTGATTTCACATTCAGATATTAATTATTGAGGTACCTTTGGGACAATTCATGAACAAATATTTACTGAAAATCTCTAGAACTGTACTTATAGATCATAAACTAAAATATATCCAAATAAATAGTCTTTTCACCAAGACATACTCTTATTTCAAATATATCAAGCCCTAGTTCTGAATTCATGATCTGAAATATTCATTCTTAACTCTACACAATGTGTATACAAATACATATTTATTTGGGTTCTAGATATTATGCTTAAAAACAATGTTAATACGTAAATTATTTATACCCCATGTTTATAGTACCATATATTTTAGCTACATCTTTTGCTGTTTCTAATTGGAATTCATAACAAAGAAACATTTTTTCTCACGAGATATTTCAGGATCATTTTGTCTAATTGTTCCTTATGTTCAACTACCATATTATAAGCTTCTTTGGAATAATAAATCAGTCATGCAGTTACCCTCTTAAGGATCTTGGAGTTGTTATGCTGCTAGTTTGGTGACATTCTGAAGACTATAGATTGGTAAAAGAGCAGGGCTAACAGTAAGATAGTTTTTTGTTTTACACTTCTTCTCAAAAATATTTTTAGTATATCATTTAGCAAAATATTTGTTATCAAAATTCAAATATTAGAAGTTCAGTGCAATTCTGTGTCCACATTACAAAAAGGACTTGTCAGCTATCAACCAAGTACATAATATTGAGCAAGTTTGTTTGCATGCTATTTGAAATAAAACCCTAATAAGACTCATCTGTTAATTGGACTTAACATTTATGTTCCTACATGAGAAATATTTTGGCTACTATAGAGAGTAGTAAGATCTATTAAGTAGAATAAACAACTAATATCTGTTATCCTTTCCTGCTCTGTGTATACAAATACATATTTATTTGTATTTTACCAAGTTAAGTACATCGACCCCGTGAATCTCTGGCTCACTCATGTATTTGTGAAGGCAAAGAAATAGTACTTCTTGAGTAAAGACCAGCCAACCAGAAGTTATTGAGTACAGCTAATTCATATTGTTTTCACTTGACTAGCCCACAAACTTAAGCAAAAGCTAATTGAAGTTAGAATTTTTGCAATTTTTATGACCTTTTATAATTGTTTTCTTCAACATTATCCTATTGTAGGATTTTATGCTGAAAATCATTGAATTAACGATTATTTACCTTTATATTTATATTTCTTTTTCTTTTTTATTTTAAAGAAGTTAAATTTGGATTTGGCTGAGCTTCGGAAGGAAAAAGAAGATTTACTAAAAAAATTGGAGTCCTCATCTGAAATCACAAGTTTGGCAGAAGAAGTTTCCCGGATAACAACTCCTCGGATACACATTACATCACTGAGTCCTTCAAGGAGCATGGATCTGGAAATGAAGCAATTGCAGTGTAAACTAAAGGTGATTTTAAAGTTTATTAAATATGAAAACATCCTTAAAGACAAGCTTATATCAACTATAATTTATTCTAATAAAAGTAAATTATGGCATCCAAAAATTATTAATACTACACTTTATTTTATCATTCCCCAGGTTTAGTTTGATAGATTCTTATCTGTTAACTCATAATACTGTTCTCTGAAAAAAAAAAAAATGACCAGACACCCTGAAATCGTAACTTAGGAGCTAATGGAAACTTCTTCTCCAATATTCAACTCCTCTCTGCCCCCAATGTCTCCCTCTGACTAAACAGAATTGTCTCAAACATAGTATCAACATATACCTAATTGCTCTCCTCTATACATGTTACTATTTTAGTTTGGTCCTTTTTGATTGGATATGGAGAAGGAGAAGAGATGTAGAGAGGGGGAGAAGAAGCAGAAATCAAAGATGGACTGGTTTAGTATATTTCAACAAGTTAAATGTGTGAGAATAAAAAGCTGTGGTCCTTTGGTTTATAAAGAATTATATTTAAGTCGAGAAAAAACTTGTCAACAGTTTAAAAATGGGGCTGACCTTACTTTAAATAGAATTACCTTGTAAGAAACAAGATTGATGAGTTTTAATTGGAGAGTTAATTTTCATGCTGCTTAAAACAAGTTCATTTGCTTTTCACATATTTAATTCTGTTCTTCAGTGGGAATTGGTAGCTAGAAGCTAAAGGCAGTGTTATATAGGACCATAGTTACAATGAGAGTCACTAGAAGGAAATATCTTACTGTAAATGCACAGTGTACATTTAAAAATAGAATTACTGTTAAGATTATATTGACTTATTGAATTGTGGAACAGACTCAGTTGTTTTCAACCAAAAATGATATTTTAGTATAGGATTAAGAATAAGATAAAATTTAAAATAAACGAGTGCATCTTTGCTTGAAAATATTTTGCTTTCTTAGAAATAATCATTTACAAAACTGGCATTAATTCGGATACTTTTAAATGCCATCCTTGGACAATGTTTACATGTAGAACTTGCCTCAACAACATTTTATGTTTAAATACCTTATATAAAATTAGAAATGTAAGAAAAAATAATTGTGAAAGTTTGGGGGCATGTATCTTTTAAAAGATGCTTTTGTCTTTGAAAAGGTGCAATAAAATAAATAAATCAAACATTTTAGTGTTTAGGTTTAATATACTAGAAGATAAAATCATTGAGATAGTCTTTGGTCTTATATATTACGTAGATTCTAATTCATAATTCTGTGATTCTTTTGAAGTGTTCATGATCCTGATATGTCATTTTCACCTAGATAAAATTGAATATTAGATCCTGTACTATATGACTTCTACAGTTTTTTAAAAAAATTGCTAATACTTTTAAGTTGATTTATTTGATTTTACTTGCTATAGATGGTCTGAAAGCAATTAAAAAATAAAAGAAACAAATGGTCTAACATAATTTTGAGTGAAAATAGACCTACTTGAATATTTGTGTGTAAATTATTTACAATATAATTTTCCATAGTATAAGTTTTTACCCACATATAAATATTTATCTTCTTTTGAAGGAAAGTATCAGTCAGAAAAGTGAAACATGAGAATACCTAAAACAGTTTTGTTTAATTGTCTGTATCTAACCTGTAGTCTTGGAATACTGGTCAGGACATATAGAAACAAAAAAGATAAACATTTACTTTTATTTTGTTTCATATTTTCAAATGGAAATTTCCTAAAAGAAATTTAAGTACATAATACTCTCTGCTACTAAAAATTTCTGTTTCAATATATTTGTTCATTAGTGCTGCCATAACAATATCACAGACGAGGTAGCTTAAAAAATAAACATTTATTTTCTCACAGTTCTGAAACTGGAGCTCCAAGGTCAAACTTTTCTGAGGCCTCTCCTTGCCATGTAGATGGCTTCCTTTGTCTTCATGTGATCTTCCCTTTGTTCATCTCCATCTCCTAATTTCCTCTTCTTATAAATACACCGGTAATATTGTATCAGGACCCACCCTAAAACCTCATATTATATCTTATATAGTTAAAAAGTTCCTATCTCTACACATAGTCCCATTCTGAGGTCCTGGGGTTAGGTGAGGACTTCAGCATATACGCATTTTAGGGGAACACGATATAGTCCAACACAGATCTCAAACTTTGAATGCAGTGATTATCTAAGAAGTAGCTTATTTTCTGAGATATATATATATATATATATATATATAAACTTAGTTGAGAAAGTTGATTAGACTTAAATCTCTTAAAGGTCCACATGGCATTTTTTTTAAATTTTGGTCAATTAATATGTAGAGATATAGTTTTGGGTGTGTGGTGCAATGGATTGTACCCAGAGGTGCTCTACAACTGAACTACATACCCAGCCCTTTTTGATTTTTATTTGGGGACAGGATCTCCCTAAGTTGGCTTTGAACTTGTTTCTCCTACCTCAGCCTTCTGAATTGCTTCACTTGCAAGCATGCTGCACTGCACCTGGCTGTGATTTCTTATGTGTATTTTTCAAATGTCCTTGATTCACTTAATATAATTAGAGTGCTCAGAAGCATTTTCTGTATCTTTATTTTTGTTCATATTATATATGTTTTCTCGAAGACCCAGCTTTATATAGATAGGTAATAAAATGTTAGCAATATACAAATTCCTTTTAGTGAATAATATATAATCAGTTCTTTATATTTACTTTATAGTTTTTTTATACAATATGGGTTAAATAATACTTAAATTTATATTTATGATTTTTTATTACTTTCTGATTGTTAAAGACCATTCTTTGTGATATGTACAATGTTATCTTCCAATTTGCATATAAATTAAAAATAATGGACATTAGTTTTTAAACTATTGTTACACAATCTATGAGTAGGCAATTCTAAGTGTCTTACAAATACTAACCAAATAATTTTCATTTAACCCTATAAGATGGATTCTGATACTACCTCTCCACTAACTTCTTGTAGAGCCTGGTCAAAGAAATTACTTAACTACTCTAATGTTCTAAAGCAGAAATACCTTTCTGCTTATTTCATAAGGACTTTTGAGGATCAAATGAAATAGCTGTCAGACTTAAAGATTTTGGCAAAAGCATATATCAAGCTGGCATTATTTTATCTATCCTAATTCAGTAATCCCTCTATTTTCTAGAACTCATTCATAAGTATAGCATATTCAGCCACATAAGATACAGCCTTAAGTCTAAAAACAGAAATGAGTAGAATAGCTATCTCAAAATTCACTTAATTTATTCCACTGAAGATACTGTCAGACTTTTGTTTTACTATCTGTTGTCTTTTATTTTAGATGTTTATTTACTTCATTATTTCATGTTTATTTATTTCATGTGTCAGCAGAAAATATTTTAAAAGCATCAACTTAGAAATATGCATATGAAGGAGCAGGATGTTTGTTTTGGGCAGGAATATTGACAGGCAAAAAGGTAGAAGCAGCAGATTGACAGGAAAAAAAGAAATATGAAAAGTTAAGGTAAATAGAGAATTAGAAAAACATAGGAGTTGGGGACCATTTGGAGTAGAAGTATTTTTACTATACTAGTTCTTAAGGGTATCACTATATTATAGTATAGAGATAATGTATATACTAATATCATATATAATTAATATAGTGAAAATATATATTTATAACATCATTTTTGCATAATCATGGATGTTCATATTTCTAACTGAATGAACAATCATTTCAGAAAAAAATCAAGATAAAAAATCAAGTGTTTAAATAAAAGCTTCAATTATTTGGTAAATTCACTAGTGTGTCATACCTGATTATGGCAGTCCTAGAAACAGGACATTGTAAATATCTCTGTAAACATGCAAAATATAGTAAAAATTTAGGTTATAGTAAACACATAAAAATTTGTAACTTTTAAAATAGGTACATGTTGAGGTAGCTCTTTGGGTTATTAAGAAAAATTAAGATTAAATTTCATGTAAAAATTAAATTATTTCAAATTTTAAATTCACATGTGCTGTGGTAGTGTAATATTCAGAGTTAGTGTGATGAATTTAACTCACTTTTCTTGTGTGATTAATGATTTCATACTTTAAAATTAAAAAAAAATTGCCATTAATCAAACATCCAAACCTAGGAATAGTTCTAACAGTTTATTATAGTTTAGAAAATTAGTAGAAGAACTATTCCAAACACTTATTTACCTAACTGAAAGGTCCAAAAGAGTTTCACTCAAGTTCGTCACTTTGTCTGCTGGCTGTCAAATGGGATATCTTTTTACTGTTTCACATGGCCTTTCAAGTGTCTTTCTTGCAAAGGAATCCCACAGAAGCATTCCAAGAGGGTGAAAGCCACAAGACTTTGCTGCGTCATTTCTGACAAATTCTTCTGATTAAAACTGATAATAGACCAGACTAGATCAAATAGCCTAAGAAATAAATCCCACCACTAGATGGGAAAAGCAGCAAATTATTTGTGACCATATTTAGTCTATTTCAGGTTTCTAGTAAGTCTAGCATTCATTTTAAATGATATTATTAAGTAATCAAAGTTCCTACTCATACATTTATGTTTCACTAGGATAATTCATGTTTCCTATAAGTATATTTGAAGCATGAACTCCGTATTTGTTATATGATTGTTTTCCTCTATACTCTGGCATACCATATAAACATTGTAGTATTGTGTCTATTAGAAAATTTAAAAGCACTTAAAAATTTTTAATGTTCAATTATTGTTCATAATTATTACAAATTTATTATTATTATTGAAAATGGTGTTTATTTTGCATTAGATCAAGATTGAAAGGTATATCTGTTTTTTATTAGAATGCAACCAATGAATTTACTAAGCAGTCATCAAACATGAAGTCTCTGAAGTCTGAACTCCTAGCAAAAGAAGAATACATAAAGGAAATGCATGAAAAGTATGTTTTTTTTCATATTTCTATCCATTGTATTTGGTGCCACCTAGTGGTAGTCCAATTGGTTAAACATTGCAACCCCCCAAAATACCCATGTATCATTAATAATGGAATTTTACTTTCTTAATTCATGTTTAAACCTATAGATAGAATTGTAAAGAATGCTGCATATAGCATAATTAATGACAAATTGGTTACTATTTTTAGTTAGGGTAAGAATAAAGTTAGATTTCCCTTATTAAACATATATAATTTTGAGTAAATGTAAATTAATGACTTCAAGACTATGGATAAAAAGATTTAAAATGTGGCAAATGTTTGACAAAAAATATAGATGGATATTTATAGTAGGTTTAATGACTAAGTTTATAAAGCTAATGTGGAAAAAGGAAAGTTTTTGTTTCTGTTTAAAATACTAGAGGGATACCTCTTATGTTATCATTATTTTTTAAAAGTGTTTTAAATGCTCCCAATGAACTAAAATGCTTTTCTTTGTATATCACTTATAGCTACAGTAGAGTTTATAGGTGATGATATGTGTACATAAAATTTCACTCATCATAGATAAATTTGAGATATTTGTACCTCATATACATACTTGTATGCCAATCACATTATAGGTGAAGGTCACTCCAAAGTGATATTAACAGGTAAAGAACTATTAGACAAAAAGATTAGTTAGTATTTTTGACTGAAAATATATTGAAGTTTATTTGTAGTTTAAGAGGTGATCTTGCTTATAATTTAACAGTGAGGGCTCTAGAGAAATACTCTTTGAATCTTGGCTTTTCCACCTGTTAGCTCTATGCCTCAATTTAATAGAATTAATTCATAAGGCTCTTAGAAGAAATTAATTAATTAACATATATAAAGCACTTACAATAGTGACTAGCATATAATAAGCCAGCCAGTAAATAATAATAAATGTTAGTTATTGTCACTCTTACAATGTAATTAGTGGTAGGGAGAGAAGTAGCAACAACAGAAGGAGTTGTCACACTACCATTTTATACTTATCATTTCATTATCTTAAGCTAAACCCATAGGTGAATTCCATCTTAAATGGCATTAAATAAGAAGATATTATGCCTGATTTTAGTTTCTTTGCATATTATAAGACTTATATGTTTATTATAGGATTTTTTTTCCAACATTGTTCAACTTTTGATCATCTTTAAGTATCGCTTCAATTTTCCTAAGCAATGCAAAAATGTCATTTAAATATAATGATTCCAGGTTTTTATAAATTTTAATAATCTTTCTTTTGTTTTAATGTATGTGTATTATACTGTAATAATCAAGTCACAACCACATTGTAGATTTTACTTAAAATATAGTACAGAAGTGTTTTATTCATTGAAATTTATTTTACTAATTTATAGTTTCATTAACATCAGATAGCATTTTAAAATTAACAGGCATAACCTTAGTGACATGCAAGATAAAGTATTTTCTATTCTCTGGATAAAATATCTTTTTTTTTCCTTTCAAGGATGTCTCGAATGGAGAGGAATATAACCATGAAAAGACATTTAATAGAGGACTTGAAATTTCGACAGAAAGTTAATTCAGAAAGTAATGAGAGTTTTAGTGAAATGTTAGAAAATCTTGAAAAAAAGGTACCAATGTTTAAAATTCAAGATTCCAAAATCTCACATGTACTATAACCACATATTCTGTTTCTGTTTATAACAATTGCATGAGAAGATAAGTTAAATTTTAAAAATCTTTAATATTTCTGAAATGCATAATTATATTTCATTCAGTATTTTATTTTATTTAAATCTATAATTTATAATGATACAATAAATATTTCTGAATTTTTTGAGAAATTGATAATCAATAACTATCAGAAGATCTTTCCAAAGTGTACATTTTACCCTGTATAATTAATTCAACACATATCGGGAGGTAGTTTTATTTTAAATAGTTATATGTGACCTGAAACTAGAAAGAGTTTGTTTCAAAAACAAAAAAGATGGTATTTGCACAATTCATAAAGCAGTCTTTGCTTTGGCTTTCACTGAATGTTATTCACTACAGAAAGAGCATCTCCTTTACTTTCCTTGTTGAAGTTGAAAATCTAAGTATCTAGCAGCTCATATGATTTAAGAGAGAAAATTTTACATGAACATGAAAAATGCATGTGGATTTTATTTCTGTTTCTTCATCACCCACATAAATGATAATTTTTACAGGTTTTCACTGTTATCCTTTGAATTTTGCTAAATTTTTATCTTCAGTAATCATTTCAGATAGACTTCTTTACAATCTTTGAATGAGTAATCATTTATCTTTAGTGGCATTAAATTGAAAAAGAAAAACTATTTCTCCTGTTATTCTTTGAAATATATAATAAATATGTTTTTATTTAGTATTCCATTATATATATTTTTACATTTTTATATGATTTTGATTTTTGTTATTGGTTTAAGAATTGTTAGTTTTGCTAATGAGTTCTGCAAGTATAATTCTTGAATTTGATACGATTTCATGATATAATAAATATAAGTGGACTCATTCATTCATTCATTTAGTTTCTGATTAAACAAATATAGTATTATACTAGAATAACTTTACCAAGGATAATTATCTTTGTACTTTTACTGTAGGTAAAGACATTAACTGAAGAATGTTCCAATAAGAAGGTATCAATTGATTCACTAAAGCAGAGACTTAATGTTGCTGTAAAAGAAAAGTCACAGTATGAACAGATGTATCAGAAAACTAAAGAGGAGTTAGAAAAAAAGGTATGCTTTTAGGACATTTTAGTCTAGGTATGGAATACAATGATGTCTTTTTCATTTTTAACACTGTCACTTTTATCTCCCCAAACTATCATGAAATAGTGAAAAATTTCATATAACTGCAAAGAATATCGTATCTGTATAAGACATACCAAGAATTTACTAAACATTAAATATAATGCTTTATTAGTGAAAATAAACAAAAACAACCACTAATTTTACCCAAATAAAAATAAATAATATATGAAGTAATAAAATTGTTTCGTGTCTGACTTGTATAACTGTTCTGTTCCAAATTTATTCATGAAAAAATGTTTTTTTATTTTATGATTACTGATTTTTGCAGGATCTCAAGCTTACTTTCCTGTTCTCAAAAATAAATGAGACTGAATCAGCAATGGCAGAAATTGAAACAGCAGCATCTAAACAACTTCAAGGATTAGCACTACAAAGTGAGCAGGTTCTGGAAGGTGCACAGAAGAAATTGCTATTAGCCAATGAGAAAGTTGAAGAGTTCACCATATTTGTGAAGGTTTGAATCATTTGTGGTTTAGTAACTTTGTACTTTACTTCAGGCAGACTACTTCAGATGATTGAAATAAAACTGTAAAGTTACTTCCCGCTTTTCTAACCCACAAACATCCTCCTCTATGTGTTCCATTGTTCAAAATTGTGTCTGTGAAAGATTTATTTTTATAGTTTTAATTTAAAATTTTTCACTCTGGCCAAGCTTGGTGGCAGCGCTAAGGAGGCTGAGACAGGAGGTTTGCAAGTTTGAGACCGGTCTCAGTAACTTAGTGAGACCCTAAGCAACTTATTGAAACCCTGTCTCAAAATCAAAAAGAAGAAGGGTCTGGGGATGTGGCTTAGTCTTTAAGTGCACCTGGGTTCAATCTTTAATAGCAAAAAATCCAAAAATTCCACTCCTGTTCATATTTTTCTTAATTTCAATTTAGTAACAAAATTGTAGTAATCAAGATAGATTTGATATAAAAAAATTAAGTCATTTCCACTCTAGTTTCATTTTAAAAATAACCCAAACAAGGACAACAAACAGAAACATCATATTTATTGAAGCTAGGGGCCATCTTAAGTACCAGTATACAAACTTCAACATATGGAATAAATAGAGGACTTGGCAGACAAAAGAGAAGACTATTTAAGTGCCTGCAAGATAAATGATGGCAGAGGGTGTACCATTTAGAAATTACCTAAAATAAAAAAGTTAAGAACTCCAGAAAAGCTTAGGAGTTGGCTGCTCAAGAAACCACCAAAACTTCAAATGATGAAGTAGGAGCAGATATGGAGCTTAAAAGATAGTTTGTTTGAAGTTTTTATAAGGAACTTTGAGACTTCTGGTCTGTAATTTGATCCCATATAGTTAACAGTATTCTTCCCTCAATCTTCTGGTGAGGCTGAGGAGAAACAGCTCCAGCTACAAAATTAACACTAAGAGCTAGTGGTCTGCAATTGTTGTGCTTCTTTTAATTTTTCTGTGAACTGTTTAAATTCTGTTCAGTGTCTTTATTCCTTTTTGTATTGTCATTAAGCAAATCTTGCCACTAGATAGACCATGATGCTTTATAGCTGGGACAATATTTTATTAATGTTTTATCATTACAGCAGCCTTCAGTGCTTTGCAAAGAATGAGAACACAATAATAATCACTATCTAATCGAATTGAGTTTTCATTAGGAATGTGAAATTTTAATGATAGTACTTTTGCTCCATAAAAGAACAAAACAATTGATAGTGAGAAATTTATTATTTCCTTTCTTCTCTTTTCTCCCAAACCTCAGTATTCTTTTTTTCCTCAATCTTTGATGAGACTGAGTTCCCTACCCTTTTTTCTTCAGATGGCATGTATTATTAAAAGTAGTCATATCCTAGTAGTATCTACATATTTATACATGTAAAATGTTTTCAATTTATAGAATCTTTTAACTGTCCCCTTATAGAGTAAAATGACATTACCACTTAATGTCTTCTTTCCTAAAAGACCCAACACCATTTGAACCACTCATTAAGACCTTGCTGTAAAAATACATATTAAATATAAAGTATATAATTCTAGATACATTCATGTTCGTGTTCTCAAATTAGTTCTTTTCTTAGTCTCTTTCTAGGTGGTCAGTAGTTGGGCATCTCTTAAAGCATTCAATTGAAAAGATATTCAGCTCAATATGTATTAGAATATTTTTAAATGTCCTTTACTATTGATCTCATTTATAAGTAATAACATTTCTGGGCTTATGGATTGCATATTAGTTAGCAAATAACTGGCATTATTTATAATGTTATATTCTTCATTCCCCTAAAAACAGGCACCTACAACATTGTGTGCCACTGAGCCTAAGGAAATCCCTTACTTTGCTTCTTTGAAAGTCAGAAATATTTGGGGGAGTTTTCTTATTTTAAAAAATATCTACAAAATAAATGAAATAAAACATTTTCTCTCTTTTAATGAAGGCTTCAATTGGTATGAAGTCAAGCCAATACCTCCCTCAGAGGATGCTGAATAATTGCAAAGCATTAATTTTAGTAAATGTACTTTACCTTTCCTAATTTAAAATCATTTTCTTCCAAATGCTTGGTTATGATGCATATTCTCATTGAATATTGCCACTATTTTACTCATTATGTAGTACCATTTTTATTATGACTGTTAGTTTCATGAACTTTGTTTTTCTGTTTTGTATTCAGCTTAGGGTTGGATCCAGTAAGCTGCATTTTATAAGTTAACTGTGTGATTATTATATATATAAACAGTTTTAGAAAAACAGCCTTAATTTTTTTAACAATTGAATCTATATAGCAAAATATTTACCAGTTTGGCATTATGGTAACACTGTTTACAACTCATAACTTCTAATGGTAATTTGACATATATTTTTCTTAGCTGTGTTTTAGGGCCACGTGCAGTTGACACTAGTGCCACTTTCACTGTTTTGTTCATTTTTCTAATCAAGGGCCACTAACAAATTAATACCAAACCCATAAATTTTGGCAAAGACTGGTTGATTGGGTGTTAGAAAGGGCTGATCAGCATCTTTCTGTTCCTTATGTGGATGACCCTAGGACCAGAAGAATTGCTTAGGAGTCACCATCTGAAGAAATATATCATCCGTAACTTCCTAAATCCTGTTGCATTAGTTACATAAGATCCAAGCTTCCACTTTTTATTATAAAGAGTTAAGATTTTCCACAATTGAACACTATTCTGCCTAGAATCTAATCTTCTCCACTTCTCTCTAACTTTTGCCCATATTGGACTTATTTCTCCGCCTTTGCTCAAGTTCTGCTTTTCACTCAAAATGCCCTCCCCTCTCTCCCCCTTTGCTTTCTCCTTTCAGATTTAGCTCAGTGTCTTCCTCTTACATGAACAACCCCTTTAACTCTGTGCTTAAGAGGATAGAACTCAACTCTGCCACTTACTAGCTGTGTGATCTCAGGCAAGTGACTTTATCATCTGCATCCAGTTTCCCCATCTAAAAAATGATTGTAATAATGGAACATATCTGTGGTTAGGATTTAAATAAGTTATCATAAACAATGAGAAGAGTGCCTAATATAGCAAAAGAACTAAATATTAATTATTTTATATTAGTGCTGTTGTAATAAAGTAGAATAGTTCTTATTTATTTTCTGAACATTTTTATGTGTAACTCATAAATTAACATATGTAAACTCTTATATTTTTCTTTTTGTTTCAAGTAGGTTATAGCCAATTTGAGGCCAGGAATATTGCTATTTGTTTTCTTCATAGTACGGGCACCTAAATTGGCTTATTAAATTCTTGAGGTATTTATCTTATATCAAGATAAATGGTCCTATACGCATAGCTACTACTCATATTGAAAACTCTACGAAAACAAGAACTGTGCACTTTCCTTAATGAATATATTAATGAATTTACATTGTTCTTACATAGAACAACTATAATTATCAGAACTCATTCTATACAGAGCTTACTAGGGTATCATATACACAAAAGTACTTAATAAATATTATTAGTAGTATTAATAGTACTAATGTTTGTTCTGGCCCTGTTGTGGAATGTATGTTCCCTTTAGTCTTTTCATTTATTCATAGGGCACAACCAGATTATAGAAGAGGTGGTGTAGCCATCTGTTCTAGATCTAGTCTTGAATACAGAATGTTGCCCTGGGGTGAAATCAAGTGTTTTGAGCATCTGGGCTGGATATATGTGGCAGATCTGAGGCTTTGAGTTCTCCTAATAACTGAATAAAACACACTAGGGAAATTTCTAGAAGTATTTGCTCAGTTTGACTCAGCCTTAATATATAGGCTACTTAATGTGCTTGTATGTAATAGTCATATGCCAAACTCCATCTTCTCCATGTTTTTCTTTTTTTTTGTTAACTACAAAATACATAACAGCCAAAGAACAATATTTAGCTAGAAGCTTAAGTGGTTTCATTATCAATGTGTACTTGCTTTGATGAGATTTAGTCTGATACTTTGGGCATATAAATATCTTGCTTATTTATTATAAACATTTATGGAGCATTACAATTTTATTTTCACATATACAATTGTTCATTCTTTGGCATAGATCTAGTTTCTTAATTAGATTTCTAAACAGTTCTGTAATATACTTGAACTTGAATTAACTCTTTTATCATTATGTTAAAAAAGGAAAATTACAGATCTTTTCAGAGAAAGGTTCTTAATAAAATACATTACCTTATTATATCACAATAAAACTGTTTGAAAAGCTGTAAAAACACACACATATTACTTGTGTACTCCCTAACTCTTGCTATGTAAGGTCATACACTACCTTGGGATTCTACAGAAAGACCATCACCCATTGCAGCGTCTTAACCGTAGACTTCTAGAACAATGATCCAAAAGCCTTTTTCTTTATAATTAAAATAAAATTATTAAATACATTAATTCTTCAGGAAACGATGATGATAATGATGACTCTAAAGTATTTGAGTAGCAAATTCTTACCTTCTCACAATCTAATCTTACTTTTAAAAAGTCCAATCAATCCTTAATAATTGAATGTAACTCAAGATTGTAAGTAGCTAGCTAACACAGACAAAAAAGCTCCCTGATAAAGACTAGAAAATTAAATTTTAAAATGCTGGAATACTAAACATAATAAGATGAAAATGGAATAGTTTACTTTGTGTTTTGTGAATACCACTTCTGGTTGCTTGCAATAATTTATAAAGATTTATAAATTATAAATTAGTGACCTATAAGTAGAAATGTACATCTAAGAAAATATTCTTATTTTGAAAATGTCTTTAATGTTGGGACCATTTTTAATCATTAGAAGGGACAAAAAAGGGGGGGATATTTCATATTGATTATAATGCATAGTGTGCAAAGAAAATGTAAAATTCATAAATCCTTATGACCCTAAAAACATGTTAAACAAAACTTGATACCAATATAAAAAGAAATTGGTGAATCCATAGATATATTTACTATGATATAGTATATTTAATCTACTGTACTCAGATATCAGTAGTTCAAATAGACAAAATGTAACTC